AGGATTTCGGTTATAGAGATGACCAGGCTATTACTGCTCTCCAACAGTCTGTACAAGACCTCAGGTATGATTTGTATTCAACTTTTGTGTTTACTTTATAAGTGGTTGCCTTTGAGTGGATATTTGTAAAGAGATTTGAATGAAATGTTGTTCTCTTCAGGAAACACAATATGCTGTCTCCGAGGGAAGGGCCGACACAATTAGAGCTGCCGTCGCGTCCATTCGGACTAATACTACCTCCGGATAGAAGGAACTCATTCCTCAACGACAACCAAAGTATTGCCGGCAGTATTATCTTAAGGCCAACAGATTCTGTATCTCTGGCGCAGACTTCGAGAACTGGTAGTGAAGTGGGAAGTGTTTCTGACTTTGACAACAAGTAAATGATTATTAAAAATGAGTGTTTATTTTGATGACTAATATTGAGTATTATTTTGGTGATGAGTAGTGAACAAAGCAAACTTCAGCGCTCCATTTCCATCTACGATAATGTGGACATTCATGAGTGCATTGAAGCGGCCAAATGGTTGAGTGCTGTCGACTCACCACAACACAGACCCAGGAGTAGGGAAAGCAGAACACTGTCCGCTCACTCACAAGAAGTGGAAACACATTCACAAACAGATGTCAAGAGTGATGTCAAGGAAATCACTGAAAAGAATGAGGTTTTTGTTGAATCTATTCAAACAATTGAAGAAAATGTCCCAAACGTTGATTTCACTGAAATGAAAGAAACCATTTTTGTTGAATCGGTTTCGCAAACAAATTATGCAAAAAATGAAACAAATTTTCAAAACCCAATAGAATTTTCTATGAATCTTAAACACAATTTACAAGACTTGAGTCCAACTAAACCTAATAATAGCTTCGAGTCTACAAATAATGACAACATTCCCCCACTTAATGGTAAACAAAGTGATGTTAAGTCTGAAAATGAGTTTTTTCACAAAAACGAGACAAATGGCGAGAAACATGAGATGAAAACTATCAGCAGTTCTTCGATATCTGAAAATTATAGTTCATTTACGTCTGCAAATGAAAGCCAAACCCAAGCATTATTTGAGAGAAATGAGTCGAAAATATCAATGGAAACCAAAAGCCAAACGAATGGAGAGATAGGGAGCCGAACGTCTCCTATGAGGACGGCCTACAAACGCGGCACTGAGAAGAGACAACCAATGGGTTTGGTT